TCAACCCCAGACAACTTGTTTTTGTCTGTTTTCCTTACAGATGAGAATCCGCAGGAATAAAATGGTTTTTCTTTAGAATGGGGGTCAGCAAACTTCACAAGCTAAGAATGGTTTTAAATTTTTTACTTTAAATAAAAATATAAAAGCCATTTTTAGCTCTCATTGTATAAAAACAGACAGTAGGCCATATTTGGCCCCTGGGCCTCAGTTTGCTGACCCCGTTTGGGATAGAAAGGAATGGCTCTTAAACCCTAGCTTGCAGCAAGCTGAGGATATATCTATGACGAAGCGACAGCTAGGTTGCTGAAAACACACAACCTAATTGGAACTATACTTATCCAAGTGTCGCAGATCTAAGGAATAGTATTATTTTTTTAGTATTGTAACGTGACTCTTTGCCTATTACTTTCAATCTTAATTTTTAAAAGTTCTATTGATGCTTTTTAATTTTTAGACAGGAGATATTTCCAGATATCCCTTTGACCTCATAAAATCTTCCCTTTCACAAATTAAAATGGCTAAGAAAAAGAAATCATCATGGCTACTAGGTCTGCCATACAACCTTTCGCCCCAGGTGGGGCGTCTGTGATCCGCCCCTTGTAATGAGTGAAGAGAGGAATCAACAAGTTTGGGATTAGAATGGCATTCACCCAACAATCTACTTCTTTGACAGACTGGACTCCATCAGTCTGTCCTCTGTAATCCATATTGGCCACTGCCTTGAGTCTGAGTGTAGCTGCCTTTTAGTATTATTTTCATTTAGATTACTGTAGTCACTAATAAGCTAATAATAGCTAGGATTTATAGCTAGCAGATCATAGTACTTTAAAGTGTGCAAAGTGCTTTACAAATGTTATCTCATTTGATCCTCACAACCCTGGGAGGTAGACACTATTATTATTATTATTATTATTATCATTCCCATTTTACATGTGAAGAAACTGAGACACAGAGAGAACAAGTGACTTGCTCAGGGTCACAAGCTAGTAAATGTCTATGGTAGGATTTGAACTCAGGTCTTTCTCCATATTCCCATGCTCTAGCCACTGCCATCACCTAGCTGTCATTGTATGTTCTGTTCTCCTGTTTCTCTCTTCCCTTTATGTCTTTTCAAACAAGTCTTCCTGTGCCACATCAAATTTCAATGACTCATCATTAATTTCAACCCTCCCCTCTTCTAATATCTTTTTATCATGCTCTCTTTCCTCAATTTTGGCCAAACCTCACACCCAGAGCCTCTCATTCTTTCTCTGATTCCCATCCCCTTTATTTTCAAGGCTGGCCAAAACACCTGACAAATCCATGGAATATCCATTTATAAATTATCTTTTTTCTTCTTATTTAAGCCCCTTTTCAAAATTAATTCTATTCAGGATTGAAAATGAGGCCATTTCTTTCACCATAAAGCTAGACTAGATCAAAAAGCCTTGACTTCAAAAAATGTACCTTGCCTCTCTTTCTCACTTCTCTTCTTCACCTAAATTTAAGTTTCTTGGGGCCGTGAGGATCAGCAGAAATTCAAAATAATGGCATTTTTTTTTCAGATGGCACCGAGCACTTTCAATGACTTATAAGCCTGAGCATCCCATGAAGGACTTAGTTTGAAGTCCATACAATAAAAAAAGAAGGGGAGGAGGGATGACTTCCAATCCTCGTAATATAGAGAGCTGGAACCAGCATGTTTTCTTCCTGAGAAGCAATTCTAAACTTCCACACGTGTGTGTGTGTGTGTGTGTGTGTGTTGGGAGCTACAACGGCAGCAGCAGCATCAATAAAACTGACTTACATCCGGATTGCTAAAATGCCCTCTGCCAGCACTTCAGAGATGGGGAATTTGTCAGTTCTGCCTACACGGCTACTTGGCCCCCTCCCAGCAGCTGAGAAGATACACAACCTAGAGAGAAGGAGATGCTATTTATGCGTAACTCCTTCTCTGTGTCCTCTGGAAATCACCAAAAATATTCATTAAAAAAAAAAAAAGACAAAACACCCTGAACAAAGCGATTACAAATTAATCTGCCCTTGCTGGCTCCTCCGACTGCAAAGAGATTATAAAAAACCCTCAGTATTTGCAGGAGGCCTCAGTCACTCATTAATCTTAGCTATCGTTCGTATCATTGGTTTTTTGGCTCATTCCTTAGGCATGCGTGTACGCACTGAGCTTATGGGGTAGAGACTGCCTTTCTGTCTTCAATCATCAGTAACTGGAAGACATTTCCTTAACATTTCAGAAGGCAGGTCTTCACTATACCATACACAGAACAGCCACTACAGGATAATAACTACAGCAGGGAGGACAAGAGACAGCATCTAAATGAACAAATTAAAGCACCAAAAAGTCTTTAGGATGCCATTGTCTTGAAGTGTGAATATGATAATTGTGGGGAAAAAAATCCCAGGCTCTGGAGCGCTTGAAAAAATTTTTTTCCCCTATTCATTTCATCTTCCACCAGTCAATAAATACTTATGCCCAGAATATTTAGGGTATTCAATAGTAAGCAGTGAACCCTTTCTTTCACTATGCTAATGAATAGTCTTCCTACTCTTTGCTCTGGCCATCTGAAGCTATATCCTGCAGAGACGTGGTTCAGTCTGTGGGTCTGATGGGTAGAGTTTAATCATCAAGTGAATGGAATCTTTTAGCCCCTCCTTTCCAAAGACTTCTGCAAACCTGATCTGCAAAGTGGATTGCCTATGATATTTCAACTTTGGGACTTCTATCTTTACTTTCCTGCTGAAGAGAAAGGGATTTCATGAATTCTGAGTAGGGTGGGGCCTAAGTGCCCAGATCAGTTGCTAATTGTTTGAAAACTTTAAATATATTACTTTTTTTTTCTTCTGTTTTTGGTTAGGCAATCAGGGTTAAGTGACTTCCCAAGGTCACATAGCTAGTAAGTGTCAAGTGTCTGAGGCCACATTTGAACTCAGGTCCTCCTGACTCCAAGGCCAGACCTTTATCCACTGCACCACCTAGCTGCCCCCTTAAGTACACTTCAAAATGACTTCTTGTTGACATAAGAAAGAAGCTCCAGGTTCTCAATTTCTTTGACCGAAGACCCCTTCATGCCCCTCCTATTTTCCAAGAAAGCCTCAGGGTGAAGCTGCCAAGGGCCAACTGCTGTATCTCTGAAGTTTATCAGGACCCTCACCCTACTTTGTGCCTCTCTTTACCCTATTATATTTGTATTTTGTGATAATCGTGAATAAGCCTGTAATCTCCCTGATTACAGCTCCTTCTGGGTAAAGACTGTTCTGCCTTACTCACCTTTATCACTCTCATAGTGGCTAGGCATAAGAGCATCAAAGCATTTAAAAGTTAGAGCTGGAAAAGCACTTAATTAGCTACCCCATCCCCTCACAATCTTGCTACAGCAGAGCCACACTATTTGTTATTCAGTCGTATCTGACTCTTCGTGGCCCCTTTCAGAGGTTTTCTTGGCAAAAAAATACTGGAGTGATCTGCCATTTCCTTTTCCAGCTCATTTTACAGATGAGGAAATGGAGGCAAACCGGGTTAAGTGGCTTGCTTACTCAGCTAGCGAGCATCTCAGACTAGATTTGAACTCGGGTCTTTCTGACTCTAGGCCCAGCATTCTATCCACTGAGCCACTTTGCTGCCTCAGCCACCCTATACATGATATTATATAATAAGCAGGAGACTAGGATTCAAACCCAGGTCTTATGACAACGGCCAAAATACCTCTCCCAGGATCTCAGGAGTTATGTTCCCCCTGCTCACATCCCTGGTTCTCAGGACAGAGGAACCCCTACTAGCCTAATATTAAACATCACCCTTGTCTTTCTATCTGTTTCATCTTTAGTTGCTCAGGCTCCCTATGTCCACATTTCAGGTACCCCCTCTTTCTGCTTTTTGTCCTTCGATTCTTGGTCTCAAGTCCTTTTGTCCAGACTCATTCAATGCAGGGGTAAGTCCACAGTATATTGCCAAAGAACAGACTCTAAGAACTAGAATGTTGTTAGTCCACAACTCCCTTATTTTACAGATGGGGAAAATGTGGTACACAGAGAGGGAGTGACTTGCCCAAAGTCACACAGCTAGTTAGAACCCCAATACTTGCTGACTATATATAGGCCACAGGTACTTCATCTGAACATTAGCTTCAGCATCTGTAAGGTGGGAATATTATACATTAAGGCAGTCTGGAGCAGTGGTTAAAGAGCTGGCCTTGAAGCTAGAGAGACCTGGGTTGAAGTCCCACACATATTAACTGTGTGATTTCAGGCAAATCACATAACCTCTCTGTGTTTTAAGCCAGATGTGTCAAAAACTGAGTGGCTACAAATCCCACCAAACTCCAGAGTAAAGCATAAACCAGGTTAAAATGTAATTGGTAATAATAATGTTAATTTGTCATTTTCTAAGTCAATATGCTGCAGAAGGGAATCAATTTCTACTTGAGTTTGTCACCACTGCTATAGGCAAAAGCCCAGAAGTCTTAGAGATAGCGCCAAATTGCACTGATCAAGGGTTGGGGGGGAATTGCTACTTGTCTTGACTTTTGTCTTGCCATTGAACTCCGTTGACTCTGGATGGAGAATGAGGCTTATGACTTTGTGCAGCTCTGCCTCGCCCTAGTACAAGTAAAGACATCACCCTAGTGATGTCATTGGTCCTCTTTGAGAACAAAGAATCAACAACAACAACAATAATAATAATGATAGGCATTTCCTCAACCTGGAGATCTCTCTATCAATGCAACAACAGGTCCATTCTCTGTCTCTTATATTTGCACTACCTTCTCACTGGCTGTCATGTTCAGAATGCACTGAGGAAACTTGAGTTGTTTTTACAGTTTTGGTTGGAGTTTAAAAAAAATGTTTGTGGAATTCATTAAATGCAATTCAATTCTACAAATGCTTAAAAGGTACAGGCTATTTGCTAGGCTTTGCGCTGGGGAAATGAATGAATAACTCTCCAAATAGCGTGATTGGGGCATTCAAATCCCAAGCAGGCCTCCTTCCCGGACTTCTCTTCTTACCTGGATAGGGAACTCTCCCTTTGGTTACCAGCTCTGTGAGTAAGATTCCAAAGGACCATACGTCAGACTTGATAGTGAACCTTCCATATAGGGCTGCTTCTGGAGCTGTCCACTTGATAGGGAACTTTGCACCTAAAGCAAGGACATAATGGTTATTATTGATGATTGAAGCGGCACCAAGATCACACAAGAGGCACCCTTCTAAGGGGCAGAGATGGGGAAGGGGGACCGCTACCTGTCTCAGGTCAGAAGACGTCAAGTACTGTGAAAAGAAGCCTGGTGGCAGAGGGAGAACCAAGAAACATGGACCAGCTCTGCCACAAATCTCTCCTCGCTCCATTCCAGATTCTACTTGGTTGTCAAATTGATCTTCCTAATGTGCAAATCCTACCATGTCACTCCCCTCCTCAGTCACCTCCAGTGGTTCCCTATTACCTCCAGGATTGAATATAAATTCCTCTGTTTGTCTTATAAAGCCTTCCATAACCTGACCTCTTACTACCTTTCCAGTCTTGTTATGCCTTACATACTTCCTGAAGTAGTCTGTGATCCAGTGACGATGGCCTCCTCACTCTTCCTGGAACACGTCACTCTATCTTCTGACTGTACATTTTCCCTGGCTGTCCTCTATGCCCAGAACTATCTCCCTCCTCATCTCCATCTCCTGTCACTTCTCACCTAAAGTCCCACCTTAAGCCTTTCCCCAACCTCCTTAATTTACTACCCCCAACTGATTCTTTCTTCCTTTCTTCCTTCCTCTCTCATTATTTGCACAATGTCTTCCCTATTAGACTGGAAGCTCCTTGAGAGCAGGGACTGTCTTTTGGTATTTTTGCCTTTCTTGGTATCTCCATCACTTAGCACAGTGCCTCGCACATAGTAGGCAATTAGTAAATATTGGATGACTAACTGCTTTAACAGACGGTTTGTGTGGCCTCTGGCAAGCCCCGTATCCTTTTCAGACCTCATTTTTCTAATCTGTAAGAGAGGGAAAAGCTGACCTAGATCATCTCTAAGGCTCCTTTAAGCACTACAATTCTATTTTAATCAGTAGTAGATTTCTATATCATATAGTATTAAGTCATAATGCCTTACAAAATATACAGAATATCTATGAATGGCTTCTGCTGGTATGAGACAATCTGACACATGGCTGTGTCCAAACGTGTCCATATGTTGCACAGGCTTTCCCCATTAACCAGAGAAGAGCTTTCCTTTCTGTCCCTTTCTTCTGTTAGAATGTAAGTTCCTTGAGGACAGAAATTGTGGCATTTTTATTTTTGTACTCCCAGAGATTAGCACCATAACTGCTACATAGACAATGCTTTAATAAATGTTTGTCAATTGGCTCATTGATTCCCTCCCTCTACCCCAGGATCCTGAAAGGGGCGATGAGGAATCCTTCCATTTGCCTGAATTGATTTTTAATATTCTTTGATGCTGTGGTGTTCTTTCCTAATTTCTTCCTCTAGCCCCAGCCCAAATCAGTTTTCAAACCATGAGCCAGAGATAAAAAAAAAATAACCATAAAGTAGGTCATGATCTTCCTATGAAAGGAGTATAGTCCTGCCTAAATGAGTATCTTATGATTATATGATCTCTCAAAGTTCATGGAGCAAACTTCTGGCACAGTCTGATATGGAATATCATGCCCTTGACTCATCTCCCATCCCTAGTCTTAAAAAATCTTGCCTCCTCCCAAAGGGGAAGGGTGGAGGCCACACTACTTTAATTTGCCAGAAAGATTTACACAAGATTAAAATTGAGCCAACAACACGCACACTCAACCCGCCCCCCGATTCTCCCGCCTCCTTCTTCCTCTCTGTCTCAATCTCTCTTTCTCTCCTTCTCTTGACTACTCATCCCACTCTGATCATCATGGGAACTCTGACCTGCTCCATTTCTGACTTGGACCAATTAATCTCTCTTTAAGGCAACCCAATGGTCCTCTGCTCCTGGGGCCCACTATATTGGTGCTGGGCTTTGTGTGGCCCTTTTTTCTCTCTTTTCCACTCTCTGTCATTCATGTATATTAATTAGAAAAAATGGTTAGACACATTTCATTGTGCAAATGACCTACAAACCATAAGGCATATTTATTCTCAATGTTAAAATGGATATGAGTTTAAAGTCTGTTAATTCTATATAGGGCTTGTAAGAAAAGGATACAAAACCTATTAAAATAATACTGTTTCTTTGTATTTCTTACAAAGACACAACATGGAAACTATAAAATCACCAGAGTTATAGTTTCTGGAGTATAGTAATTACTAATTGGAGCTATGATGAATTACAGCAGTTCGATTTTTGTTGACAATCAGTAGCATCCTTAGCAAATCCACAATGCTCTCATCTTACAACAGTTTTCTTCAGCATCTCTAAGTGTGAAATGAAATAAAAAATAATAATCCCATTATTTCCCCATACAAAGTCTTATATTAATACACCAAAAGAAAAAAAAAAGCAGTGCTGTGGTATTTCTTCAGCTTTATATGCGGTGTTATTTTTAGTCATTTTTTCTCGGCACAATTATTCACATCTTTTTTCTTAAGAGCTGCATGGCTCCATGTAACCAGGCCTAGCCATACAATGAAAATGGCCATTTTGTTATTTCAGGATTCCTCCCTTCCAAACTTAGCTTTTCAGATATATTACATGACTTCCCTTCCTGAACTCAGTGGTACTGTCTCTTCTGACACCAAATCTAGCACTCTATCCACTGTGCCACTTAATGTATACATGCATAACAACAACAACAATTGACATCTACATTATGTGCCAGGTACTATGAGATAAGCACTTTACAATTATTGTTTGATCCTCACAACAACTCTGGGAGGGAGAGGCTATTATTATTCCCATTTTTTTTTTCTTTTTGGGAGGCAATCAGAGTTAAGTGACTTACCCACGGTCACACAGCTAAAAAGTGTCTGAGGCCGAATTTGAACTCAAGTCCTCCTGACTTCAGGGCCTGTGTTCCATCCACTATACTATCTAGCTGCCCATCATTATCCCCATTTTACAGATGGGAAAACTCAGGTGGAGGTTAAAAGACTTGCCCGGGGTCACACAGCTAGTGAAGCGTCTAAAGCTGTATTTGAACTCAGGTCTACCTGATTCCAGGTCCAGCATTCTAGCAACTGAGCCACTTAGCTGACCCTTGTGTATGTGTGTATATATATGTACATATACAAATATCTGGTTATAAGAGGTTACATATATATTATATTTTGCATATAGTTATAAATGTGTACACACATATAAATATATATATGCATGAATGTATAGATACACAATCTAGATACAAAAGGTTACATATATTACATTTTGCATGTATATAATATTTGCATATACTTATATATGTACATATCTGTAACCTTTTGTTACAAATAATATATAACCTTTTGCACCCACATATATATGTGTATACATGATTATAAAAGGTTACACATATTTTGCATGTACCTGTGTAATGTGCATATATATACATATACATACATATTTATGGTTATAAAAGGTTGTATAGAAATATTTTGCATGTACTTATATACATACATGTATGCATTGCATACATGTACACATATCTGGTTACAGAGGTTACATACCCATTATATTCACATGTACTTATATGTGTACATACATAAGTATATGCACACATATATGACCACAAATGTTACATGTTTTTATGTGAACACATATACATGTGTGCATGTAATAGTTACAAAGGCTACAAATATCGTGCATGTACTTATGTGTACATACATACATATGCATGTGCATACATACATGGTTATATACAGTATATTTTACATGTATGTATGTGAGCGCACATATACATTTATATATATGCATGCATATATACTGTATACATATATGGTTACATATACTATATTTGGATGTACTTATATGTGTACATATACACATATATTATATATATAAAGGTTATATATTTTTACATATACTTATGTGTGAATATCTATGCACCTATGTTTTTATATGTCACAAATGTTAAATTTATGTTATATCTTGCCTGTACTTATGTTTACATATATATATATAGTTATAAAGATTACATGTACATTATATTTTTCATGTACTCAAATGTGTACATGTTATCACTCTTGATAGAATGTAATTTCTGGAGGGCACTGTTTTGTTTGTAGCCCCAGCAGTTAGCATTATGCCTGCAAGGCAAATAGTAGGTGCTTAATTAATGCTTATTGATTTCTGCTGATACATGCATATGACTGGAGATCCGATGAATGTATTGGATTTTCTTCTGTATTCCCCTTTAAGTTCTCTTACTCAGTTAAAGAACCAAAAAAGGTGCATCCAAATGCTTCCTGTTTCAAAGACTGCCCGGGCTGAATGACTGGGAGGCATCGACTTCCATTTTAGAAGCAAGTGAAGCTCAGTTCTCTGCTTCTCAGACAAATCCAATTAAATAAAATGACAAATAAAAGGTTCCTTCCTTGTCTTCCTCCTGGATTTGTTTTACTGCTCTGAAAGTGTGTGTGTGTGTGTGTGTGTGTGTGTGTGTGCTCCTTAACATGTCTCTGTTTCCTCATCTGTAAAATGTGGATAATAATAGCACCTACCAGCCAGGGTTGTTGTGAGGGTCAAATGGGATATACGTAAAATTTTACAAACTGTGCAGTGCTATATAAATGCTAGCTGTTATTCCACTTATGGATGGTTCTAATTGTGTTCTCCTTGTACCAAGCCTAAGTTTGCCTCGTTGCTCTGAATTCCACTCTTGGGGAACAGAACAGGTCCTATACCTCTTCTATGTGACAGCCTTTCTTTCAAATACTTGAAGACAGCTACCTCTTCCTTCATTCTCTGCCCCAAATCTTCTCTACTCCAGGCTACATACCTCTTATGACCTTGGTTCAAATCCTGCCTCTGATACTTAGTTTTATGACCTTGGGCAAGTCATTAAACTTCCCTCAGACTTTAGGTTCCTTGCCTGTAAAACCAGAGGTGGGGAGTGTGTGTGTGTGTGTGTGTTGGGGGGTTTGAGCTAGATGGTCTCTGGATTCTCTTGCAGTATCATCTCCCAAACCCCATCATTTAATGATCCATAAGCAGGATATAAAACCTCCCAATAAAAATGCTTAGAAATATTCAAA